CTCTAAGGCTTTGTTTCTTTATATGCAAAATGTAGCTCTGAAGCTGATGGGAGGGTTAAACTAGTTAGTATATGTAAGGCATTTAACCCAGTGTGTGCTCAAATGTTATTAGCAGTATTAGTCTTCATCAATAATAGCACTGATAAGAAGTGTGTGGTCAACTAAATACTTAGTTTTTTTTTCTCACACAAATAAATAGTAACTCAGGTCTCTTATTTGCACAGCTTCATTCTTGTTTTAACCTAAACACTAGGTTCTAGACTTATCCTGCTAACATTTTGTCTTGCAGTATTCATAGCTGTTGGATGGTTCTGAATTTTGATTCTGTCTTTTATGGTGTCAGTTCTGCTCCCCAACTGTTATCGACAAACTTGATCAGCATCTCTCTGCTTGCATCTGATTCATGAAGTTAAAAAACAATCAAACAAACAAGGGAATGAATATGACAGGGACTAGGATAACATTAGAGACTTTATTCCTGGCTGACAGAGTCACTAATTCACTTTCTTTTAATATGAAGACAAAATCTGTATCCAGTTAATGATGCTTTCCCTTAGGAGTCCGTAAAATACTTTTTGCCAAAATAAAAAATTAATTACATCTCAATCCCTCCTGAGTCTACTAAATATATAACCCTGGTAAGTGAGAAGAGGGCCCCATAATTTTTCCTTAATGAATTCTTGTTGGTTCCCAATGATCACCAGATTCAAGTTTAAATGCCCAGCCCCATCTGCTTTCACAGTTTCTTCAAGTACTTGGTGGGGAATCCAGTTCACACTCCTGTATTCTGTGTGCTCTGCCCTCTTGCCCTATCTGAAGAGTAGGGTAGGTGCCATTTTTCTTGTGCTTTTTATCAAACTTAATAATAGTAGCTCTGTGATTTTATCTGCAGTTGCTTCCACATTCTTTCTGAAAACATTTGACCCCTTATCAAGCACCCATCTTGCTCAGTGTCAGTAACTCATGCCAGCTCAGGCAAAAATTTCGTGAGAACACACCTCAACCAATAGCAGGGCTCAAGCTATTCAGGAAGTTGAGATTGGGAGGACTGTGGTTTCAGGTCAGTGTTTGTGAGACCCTATCTCAATGGGAAAAAGCTGAGCATGGCAGCATGCACCTGTCACCCCAGCAATGGTGAGAGCATAAAATAAGAGTTGACAGCTCAGGCTGTCCCAGGCACAAAAGTGAGACTATATCCAGAATAACCAGAGCAAAAAGAGTTGGTGGAGTGGCTCGAGAGGTAGAGCATCTTCTTGGCAAATACAAAGCCTTGAGTTCAAACCCCATACCACCAAAGAAAAAGAAGACAACCCCCCCACGTCCCCATTTCCCTCTCCCAGCCCAACACATCCAACCCAACTCAACTCCGAAATGAGGGAGGGTGTCATCCACTATCAAATATGTGGCCACCTAAGCTCTGTAAGTACCTGTTTGCATTTCCCAAGGTAGAATCAATCAAGACTTTCCAAAGATAGATTCCCAACACAAGCCTATTCTGGCCTATCTGGATCATCCTGTCCAGGTAACTTTTAATCAGCCAGCATGTTCTGAGAACTGGATCAAGAAATCACAAGAGTGTTCTTTCTGCTTCATCCTGGGCTTGAGAAGTTTGTAATCTCTTCCGTCCACCATTGAACATGAACCCTTGGCACACAGGCTCTTTGTCCAAGTATTCCACATGTCATCTTCCCAGCCTACCTTCTGGTTGGTCTCTTTCCACCCAATCCAAATGTCCCTTACCTTCCTGTTCATCAATCTCCAGGGTCTGACGTGAAGCATGAACAGTGCCTGTGGATCTCATTACATTGTATTCTTTACCAGGTCTGCTATACCTGGTCAGGGAAGGTAAGCTGCATGCAAACATTTCTGTTTTGTTTCCTATAGCCTCTGTATCAGTTTGGAAGGAGGGTCTGGGAAGGCAGGGACCACCATCCTCTCTGCAGTGCCCAGGACATCTGTGGGGAAGTGAGGTGAGGCGAGCACTGGTGAAGGAAGCTGGGCAGCTTCAGGCTCTGTCACTCCCAGGGCAGGAAGCCTTTAGAGCACCCCACTGCTGTCCACACTCCACAGAGCAGAACGCATGTGGTGGTCCAGTTATGGGTACACATTTAAGAGCAGGCATTATTGAGCCTTCTGCTTCCTGGAGTGGGATCCAGAGAGGAAACTCACAAACCACCAACCAGGATATCTTGGGTTAGTCCTGGAGCCTCTCCCCAGGACCAAACACCTTTGGGCTTTGCAATGTGCAGAGAGCATGAGCTCTTCAGCCAGACTCAGAGGGCATACAATCCACCATTAACCTTTCTGGATTAACACCTACCTCCTAGAGTAGTTGTGGAGGTTAGATGAGTTTACATGAACTGTAAGAATAAAGTTCCCAGTCCAGAGCACAGAAGAGGCCTTTCAAAATCCATCACTCCTGCCTTGACCACCCGCCTTCCCTTAGCTAGATCCTTCCTCCATCAGAGCTTCCATTTCCTCCTCTGCTTTTTTGTGTGCCAGCCTTCCCCCAGCTCCACGGTCCTTTGATCATGACTCTTCAATAATAATAGCTTTATTCAGGGAGACAGTTGTTCACAGGAGAAAACGCACAGATACAATTCAATGCTTGAGACTGTGTGCTTAGAAAACCCAGGTGCCAGAAGGAGCCAGGTGTCAGAGACTGGGTAAAAAGAGAATAGTTACCAGTAGAGGTCAAGGACATTATCAAAGGTGCAGACTTCCAAGGTAGCCAAGGAAGTGAACCAAAGTCCAGGAAGAGCTTTGTGTACACTCAGGGATGGTGACTGTGCAACTAGTCAACATTGCACTTCCAACTATGCTCACTGGTAACAGCAGACCAGGGACTGGTTTTCTATGGACCCTGAGAACCAGGGAACCCTCCTATTGTGGCTTTATGGGTGATGCTTTCCCCCAAAGGTAGTTATGGGGATTTTAGAAGCATACTTTTGTGCACACTGTGACAGAGCCACTACAAAATAGCAGAACGGCCATATCTCAAGCTGAAGCCATCAAAAGGGCACTGCACTCCATCCTATGCATGCTTGGGTCCTCTGTACCCTGCCTGAGGGGTGCTCCAGGGCTTAGCCTGCATGCCTTTAGAAGCAGAGCTCTGGGCCAAATTGCCCCAGGGCATGTTTGGATGTTTCTAGACTTCAAAATGAGATCTCCTTTTGAACCTGATTTGATACCCTATGGTCCTGACTCTGCTTTGGGGCTGACATGACCATCTCTAAATGTTTCATTCAAAAGGTTCACAGGATGGCAGATCTGAAACAGACCATCTAGTGGTTCATCATGGCAAGAAGTTGGCCCAGAGAAGGTGAGAGGAGGCAATGTCAGAAGCTTGAGGTAGAGACATAAAAACAGGGAGAAAGGCCTCGGGTAATTCTGAGGCATCAGATGGTGCACATCACCTGAAAGTCAAATGTGCCAAAGTCTCTGCTTTGAAGTTGGTGAAGCTGAGGCCCAGCCTGGAAGGGGTGACACACAGTGAAGGTGCTGACACATTCTGCAGTGTGGCAGAGTCAGGATGTAGGAAAGGAGAGGACACAATAGGGCTTATCCCTTAGAAACTGATGACGATGGAGACATAGAGTGACCAAGAGGGGGACTGGGGGAGGAGGGTATAAATGGGTATCTGAGTGTAGCTGGAGCTGTGTATGTGACCACAGGGAGAGCCCAGTCTGCACTGCTGATTTTGAGAGCTGCCCTGGACCACTGTGAAAGAGTTATTATGTCCCCGAGCTGGTGCCCAGCCCATGGCTCCTCCCAGCAAAGACTGCTCTGTGCAGCAACTCAGCTACCAAGGCTTGGTCCTTGACAAACCCTTGGCAGCGTTTTGATTTTGGACCCCAAGCCATATGTACAGAGTACTCTTTGCACAGCCCAAAGCAGCACCCACCAGTAGAACACAAGCTCCCTTGAGACATGGCTATTTGTTGTGAATGACCCAGCCTCGTTTCCATGCCTCAGGTGACCTTGGAGAAGGAAGCAGTTCTGTCCATGAGAATTTTGACTTTGGAGTTCATTTGTACTCAGAGAAGAAGCAACCCAGTAAAGACATGCTTCATAAATATATGCTTATGGAATCTATTTGTCATGCCCACTGCTGAGTGACCAGGAAAAAAAAGGGCTTACAGTGTGACAGGGGGAAATGAGGAAAAACTTGGCTTATAGGGGAAGCCTGTGACAGAGTAAAGCTCAAAGTGCTGGGAAAGCGTTCCGAGGGCATCCGTGGAATTCAGGAGTTGTTCAGAAACAAAATGTATCAGGATCTAAGCATACCATTTCTGGAGGCAGAAAGGTGGTCACACTGACCTCGTGGGACCTGTTATGGCTCCTGCAATGTTGTAATCATACAGAAGAAGGAACAACTATGACATGGAACTTCATGAGGTACATTGGTGAAGAGAATTTTAGTTACAAAAATATTTTTATACATAGATTTAAAAACCAGAGCATGGTAGGATAATGAGTGAGAAAAACTTCTAAAGGCCCTGTTTAAAAGAAAACACTTGGGAGATATCCCAGCACTTTGGCCTCCTGGGCTCTGCTATCTTTTTAATTCCCTGCATTCATGTTCTAGGGCTTATCTGTGAATTTGGTTAACACATTCCCCAGCTGCTCAATTGGATAAGATAAGGCAGAAGATGTTAAATAGAGAACCCTCCATCTTTTCCCACTGAGTCTGATTTCAGGATTCAATGACTTGCTAAACCCAATCTTCCCCCACCCCCGCCCCATCTTATATGGGCTTATCAATGCAGAAGGCAATCTACCCATCAGGAGTCCAAGGAATGCCCACAAAGGGTAGCAGGATGATGGGATAGGCAGCCTGTGGTCCCCAGGGACCTGCAGAGAGAGGTGGCTGCTTGGACACTGAAGGCTGCTGGTAGGGGACATGCATTTGGACTAGGCAAAGGAACTCTGCACGCACTAGTTCCCTTGATTCAGGGGTTGCCAGGGATGGGGGAGGGGAATGTATGCTTCCTACTCACCTCGGCCTGTGCTATAATGCTGGAGTTTGTCGCTGTATACAGCCTCTTTGCTGTAAGCCCGTTTCCTGCAGATACAGAGGAGAGGGGTTGTCTCAGCAAGACACACTCAGGCCTCATGCCCAGACAGGGGATGGGGAGGGAGGGCTCACCCTGGGTGTCTCCAGGGACTGAGCACCTCATAATCCTCACTTTAAAGATTCACACCCTGGTCAGCATTCCTGTGGGCAAATGGATCTGCCTTTTAAGTCAAGGGTTTACAGAAGCTTGGCAGGGCTAAGGGCTCCAATCAGAGGGCAGAGGCAATGAGGGTTCCAATCAGCACCAGTTCATATTGCAGAGCTACTCATGAGGGTGCCAACTGCAGGGCTTTGCAGGCCTGTATCTGGGTAACCACCCAAGGCAGTAGCAAACAGTATTAAAAATTCACAAGGCCTTCAGGCCATTCCTTGTGCAGAGCTCACAGTTCCTCTTGCCTCCTCTCCTGCCTGCCTGCTGCCTAGGGCCCAAGCTCTCTAACCAGAGGATGGGCTGTGCACAGGTTGTGATGCTCCAGTGGGTCAAATGCAATTTTGTAACTGTCATTCTGGAAAGCCACTGAGTGTGAGAAGGGCTAAAAGTCTTGTCTAAAATGAGGTTCGAGGATAGATGCTATTTACTTATAGTCTTGCCCAGCTCCCACACTGGATTTTATCCCTGGCACAGGGGAAATAAATAATCTGGAGACTTCTAGGCTGCCCACAGCTTGAGATGGAATAAAGGTCATGTCCAGAAATGGCCAGCTCCTGCCTGATCTGCACAGTCTAGGAAGGGACGGTATGGGGGAGGGGCACATGCGAGGTGCTGCCTGGGTCCCAAAGAAAGACCTACCTGCTGCAGACGATGGAGATGGCCACCAGAGACACGACGAACACAACCCCAGCTGCTGCAGAGCCAGCAATCAGAGGCAGTTGCTCCCTCAGTTCTGACTTGTAATCATCTAAGTGAGAAAGTAGAATTAGAATCTTACCTGTGTGCCCTTTGCATACAGCTGGTGCTCAGTACATGATACTAAACACATGATATATTTATATGTCTGTGTAGACTACAGTTTCTATGCTTCAGAGCTGTAAGCCTGACCAAAACAAAGAGTAATCTTTAAGTCACAAACAAAAACAACCAACACCAAAAGATGACAATAGCAATAAAAACAAAACAGTAGTGACAGACAGAATCGGGGAAATAAGAGGTGATAACATTGGTCTCTGGAGCAAAGATGACTCCCAGTTCCTGCTCCCTCATTCCAAAGGTCTCTCAAATGCCTTTCAGCAAGGCTAAAGATAAGTCCAATAGAAGGGAAATGAAAACCACTACTGAAACATCTCCTCAAACATGAAATGTGGCATTGTCAACAAATTTATGAGCAGATACTTAAAGTGTATCTGCAGTCAGCCAGCTCTGCACCAGGTGCTGTGGTGGATGAAGAGATGCCTGAGAAATCGCTCAGACTCTGGGATCCCACTCGACAAGAAAAGGATCAAAGTTTCTGCCAAATGCTAAAACCATGCTGTGTGATGGTCACAATGGGAAGCCCATGGGTCATAGAGGTGGACAAAGCTCATCCAAACTCTGGTGCTGCCCTGTGTAAGCTTTGTGATCCTGGGCAAATTATTTAGCCTCTCTGACCCTCAGACACACTGTCTGTTAAAAAGAAAACAAAAGAAAATAAATCAAGTCATGTGAACATTTCATAGTGTCTGATGTATCGTGGATGCCCCAAATACTAATTCTCTTCTCTTTCATGTGGATAAACCACCTGAGCCAGCTGGCCGTTATTATTGTTGTATTGATCCTCTCACAGGTATTGCCTAGTGCTCAAGACCCAGGCATATGGAAGGCCAAGCTATTAATGTTTTATTATGATCAGGGTTTATATGACCTAGCAAATAAAATGACACAGCACCATCAGTTCAATCTGAATTTCAGTTAAATAGCAAATATGCTTTTAATATATTATATCTCAAATATTGCCTGGGAAATACTTATACTAAAACACTATTTGCTGTTTATCTTGAATTCAAATTTATCTGGTCTTCCCAGATTTTCTCTGGCCATTCTAATGATTATAGCGGTTAAAGTGACGTTCTCCATGATCTGTGCCAGGATGCCCTAAGCACAGTTGCTAAATATTTCTGGGCCTCTTCTCAGATATATTGGATCAGAACCTCTGTGAAGAGGGTCCTTATGGTTCCTAATGTATGCAATCCATCCTTCAATTGTGTGGGTGGAGAAAAGACTTCTGAAGTCAAGGCTGTTGGCTCTTGAAGCCTCCCACTACAGAGAAATCAATTATGAAGAATGAAGGGACAGTTTCAGTTGCTATCAACTGAAGCTTTTTGTAATTTGTATTTAAAAATAAATAAATTTGGCAAAAAAATTTACAAGGAACCACAGAGAGGAGTCCATAAAAGTATCTTTATAAATTAAAGACATCATAAAGCAATGTGAAACACTAATGGCTTAAAAAAATAGGATGCTAAGTCAAAGGTCAGCACACTGTAGATAAGAGCAGCTGGGGCTATTGTGACTAAGATTTATGTGATAGTCATCACCCCAAAGTGTGGCCATTTCACTTTGGTGGGATCCTCCCAGGCCTAACGACCAGGTCATTGATCATTGATCATTGATCAACCTTCAGACTCATCTGTGTGCTGCAGATGTGCCTGTGGTCTCAGTGAACACAACCACTACTGATGTGCGAGCCGCTATCATTAAGATAAATACTCCCAAATTTGGCCACTTACCAGATCTCTCTTATATCTATCCCATCTTGGGGCTGCAAAACTTAACTGCCAAATGTAAAAGGAATAGCCTTCTTGGGAGAAATCTGTTACTTCTTGATTTGTCTAGCAGAATTGTCAAGAGATCAGTGCTCAGAACATGTTGAGTTTGGGGCTTTTAATCCTGTGTACTTCCTGTGCCAAAGTGCCTATAAATCTTAACGGTAAGTGAGGTGCAAAGAGGGATACCGAGTCCTTAAGGGAGAAGCAGATGGTCCTCATTCTTTCCATCTCAGCAGCATTATTAATCTCAAAGAACTGGCTCACCTTTCTACTTCATCTCGCCATCCTTGAAATACAAGAGAAAATTCACCTAAAATAAACTCAAAACAGGTTGCCAGCTCCAATCCTGTAGGGGCCAGCCAGTTCACAACAAAGCATCGGGGTGTGAATCACTGGAAAGCAATGGGCACCACTTGGGGGCAGCTGCCACTCTCCACAGGGCAGAGGACTCATGCCAAAACACCCGCCACCACTGGCCTCTCTTTCAATTATGCACAAGAAAATGAGTGTTTTGACTTTCATAGAAAATCATTTGGTTTTTAAACATTTCTAATTAGTATAAAAATTTCTAAAAATATGTGAGCCAGTATAAAACCTCAAGCCCTGTGAAGCACCTGGTCTAAGAGAACTGGGCTAAAATAGAATGCTATGTGAAAACAGCCCCCCCCCTTTCTATATAACGTAACTAACAAAGTTAAAACAGAAGGCTTTTGATTTAGGAAAGTCAGGAATAGACTGCCATTTGGAACACTATCTGGAAATAAATGAAAAATGAATCAATATAGATAGACAGGTATGCGGACAGATAAAGGAATGCATAAAATCTGGCAAATGGAAAGAGTGGAAGGTGGTTAGACACACCTTCCGAGGCCACAGAGAAGTAAGAACCAGTGAAGGAGGTGGTTTTAGAGAACTAGGAAACAGTTATAATAGGAACTAAAAGCTCCTTGGCTTTCTGGACTTGGAAACTGTTTGAGGGTTCTTTCTGTAGATAGCTGAGCAGGATCTATAGCAGGTTACAGGTTGCTGTGTGCATAAGATTACCAGAACCAAATGTTGACTTTGTTTCCTTCCTGGAGAATCAGGCTCATGTACTTAGTCTCTGAGCTCATCAGCTCCATGCCAAGCACAAGGAGTGTGATGGGACTGAGGATAAGCCCACAGCAACTGGACCCTCATACAGAGGCAAGAGGGCTGCACCCTGGGCCACGTGTGCAAATGCAGGGGACCACGTGGAGTGCACAGCCCTTCCACAACAAATCAAATATAATGTTGGGAAAGAAACGGGCCAGACTTCAAAGATCTCACATGCATCAAGCAAGTTCACATGATCCTACTAAGAGGCCAACCCCAAGGGAATCCAACACAGCATTTGCTGAGACTGCAGCTTCATCAAGGCTGCTTCTCTTCTCCTACTTCCTGTCCTGTGCCTAATCATTGCCTCCCTCCATTCTCATCCTCTGCCCTGCCTTACCATCTGTTAGCGTCTGGAAACACATCTTGCCGCTGAACTTGCCATAACCCGCCACTGTGCGGGCTCGCACCTGGACCACGTACACCATGCCAGGCCGCAGTCCATCGATTCGTGCCGTGTTGGTCTGGCTCCTGGCCATGGAGGAGTTGAACTCATTGTGCTCCTAAAGAAGAGGAAGGGAAAGTGGTCACTAGCCAAGAACTGAGTGCTGCACCCCAGTCTGCTCCACCCTAGGTACTCAGACCCCATCAGTTCCTGATCCTACAGATCTGCTAGAAGTTGTTTCCTTCTGAAAAGGGATACTCTGCCTGGGTCAAGGGAATGTAGAATCAGCTCTGGATCATGGGGTAGCTACACTCTGAAGAAAGGGTCTGAGGAAATAGCTGAGTTCCCAGGGACTGACAAGGGGGCCCACAATCATTTTCTACCCATGCCCAGGGTTCAAAGGTGAAATAACATCCAGCTTTGCAGTCATGTTACATCTCTGATCTTAGCATCTATCACCTGCTTGCCCACCTCTCTTTGCCTTCCTTCTGCTGAACTGTGTCTTTTCTCTCCCTTTTCGAGCTTTCCTTAGTCACCCCTCACAATGGTTGTTTTAAATCACTCCTGAAATTTCCTCCAGAGTTCTGACTACTTTCCTGAAGTAGTTGAGGCCATTCTTCACTGCCTCCCTTACCTACTTCTGCCTTGGTCTTGTCTGGGTGCCCATACCCCAGCATTCCTCTAGTGGCATCCAAGGAGATCATGCCCCATCTCCCTGTGTCCTCAGCCCCTCTACCTGCTCCAAGGATCAGCCGTACCTTCTTGTCTGCCTCTCTCTTAAACTTTCTGCTTGTCCTCTATAATCCCCTTCTTCTACACCCATCTATTCTTTGGAATACACAGACTCTCTTGTTTTTTATCCTAGCTCTTCTGTCTATCATGAATGCTCTTGAAGGGCTGCTTCCTCTTTTTGCTGCTGATCTTATTTAACATGAGATTGATGCCTGGACTTCTGGAATCTCCCATCTTTTTGTGATGCTCTCCACCTCCATCCAATGTCAAACTTCTTTTTGTTAGGTCTCTGACATTCCCTGAACTGTCATCATATAAAAACAAAATTCTAAATCTTGGTCTCTAGGCTCTTCATAATGAAGTCAATTCCAGTCTCTCATAGTCCCTTAAATCTGTGGCTTTATTTTCCCCCCAGGGACCACATTCTGGTCACCAGGCCTTTGCTTTAACTGTTTTCAGTTTAAGATGCTTCTCAAGAATTCTCTGTTCTCTCCATGTTGCTTAAGCCTACATCTCCAAGGCCTCCTTGCTAGGAAGACCTCTCTCACTTCTCTAGCTCATAGACTGTTTTCATTGCTGCCTTTTCTGTTTCCAGCTCACTCTCAGTACCTTATATACCATCCTGGTCTCACACTGTTTTCATGAGAACATGCCTATTCTCTGCAAAGATTCTTGGCTATCTCCAAGTACACAGGACAAAAGCTTAGAGTCTGGACCTTCCTGTATCTGAATCCTGGAACAAGATGGTGACCATAGTGAAAATGAAGACCGGATGGAGACCCCTAACCCCACTGAACAGATCTAGGATGAGTGATGAGCTCTAGGTACAATGGTTCAAGAGGTCAGAAGACAAGTGAAAGGAAAGCTTTATGAGAAGAGGTCTATAAGTCATACAATCAGTCAATGATAGAAGTTTGGAGAATTGAGTCAGGACAAAAGAATAAAGTGCAATGATAATAGATTCCCATTGCCTTAAAATATATAAACTCTTCTACTTTGCAAAGGTAAAAATGACCTAATATGTGTTCATTCACTCATTCATTCAGTTAGCCAGGCAGTTACATTAATGACACAATACCATGTCTGGGAGCTCTAAATGGGCTGTGGGTACAAAGGATGGGCTCTGTCTTCTGAGGATGCAACATCTGGTGGGGTGGATTAGAAAGTAAACAGAAGTTGATGACAGTGTTAATTGAGTGACAGGGGCTCTGGGAATATTTCAGGGGGAAAACAAGCCTATATTTTAGAGGAGATACATTCCAAGGAAACTGGGGAAAGGGGGGCATAAGTTGAGTCTTGAAGATGGAAAAATTAGCCACATGGATGAATGTGGGGAGTGAGACCCCAATATAACATGCAAAAGCAAGGCAAAGTCCAGGGGGCTTCAGGAGCCTGCAAATAACTGGTATATCTGTGAAACAGGGAGAATAGGGGTGGCAAAGAATGATTCAGACACAGTTGTAAGGGACCACAGGTTCATAGCTAGCTCTAACCAACATATAAAGGCCCATCTCCATTCTAATGGAGATACTATCTATTGGCCCCTGAAAGAGACAGCCTGGGGAAGGACTGCCCACACATTGTTTGATCTACTTGTGCAGCAGGGGAATACCCTGGCCCCATCTCCTTCCCCAATCAAGGATTTGGCAGAAGGAAGTCTGTTCACTATAGAAGGGATATCATCTAGAACTTGGTAATTATTATTTTGACATACTGGGAACATGAGGTTTGAAACTATGAACATCACCTCATCACTTTGCAAATAAGAATAAAATTCCATTGCCACAAAATGCAGGCAGCTGCCTGAATTCTCTGGTTTTACTGGAATCAGATGGAATCATGCATTGCTTGAGATGAGTGAGGCACTGACTGGGTAGCTTTTACTGAAAATAATGTGTTTTGATATATTGGCATTTGGATTGTGAGGAACAAACATTAACCCATAATCACTTTATAGTCTACACATCTCCAAGAGGTTCAGTGATTAAAATGAGTATCCATTCTAGTTCCCCACAATGTCATTAATCAATTCCAGGCAAATGAGTGAGCATGATAGGCAAGGCTGCTTATGACTGGTTTGATTATAAGGATGTAGAAACAGAGGCTGCAGCTGTTGAGAGCTGTGATTATGTCTCCATCCCCAGCATCACGACCTCGCCTTGCCTGGTCTCTCCACATCTCAGTGCTAAGTGAATGAACAAGCAGCACACTTCAGCTCAGTTTTCTGAACCAATCAGCCAAGCACAAGGTATTGCCAAGGTCCCAAAGGGTTTCCATGAGAAAATGATCTTTAGATTTGAAGGGTAGAAACCCCCCAAACCTAAACCAACCTATCCTAGCCTAGACAGTTATTACGAAGTGCCAGTGAGATCTAAACACTTAATCATCAAGACAGGCGAGAGCAGATGTAGAGGCTCCTCCCATGGTTTGCCTACAAGCGCTGACACCAGGAGTGAAAAGTGCTACAAGACAGTAAACAAGAGAGAATGATGAATGGGAACGCATTAAAATGGGGAAGGAGATGAGCATGGGAGAGGCTGAGAGTGTCACCAACTCGATGACATCTGAGCTCTCTATTAATGAGCTGTTGGAGGAGGCCAGAGTCTCATTGATTTGTATTCACAGAGCTAAAATTGGAAGGTGTCCCTGGCACAAACTGAGAGGGTAATGTTGGGCAGGAGACCCATGGGGAGTTTTTAGATGATGCAAACCTACCACCAGTGGGCCAGCTGTTTTATAAATAACATTCTTTTTGGAACCCAGCCACACCCATCTGTTGACAATGCCTATGGCTCCTCTCCTGCTATGGTGATTCCAGGTTTAGGTGAAGGGAATGGGACATCGTGGGTGAAAGCAGGTAGTGGAGGATGAAGGAATGGTGAGTTTGCTGCTTTGAACTGAATTCAGAACATCTCCTGCGTTGGATTCTATTTGCATTTGCATTTTCTAGAGACCAGGATTCGATGGCCATGTGGAGAAGGCTGGCAGCTCATTTTGGTTACAAATATTTGAATTTAATATTAAGAGCCAGTATCTTATTTCATACTAATTTAAAGAGCCTCAACATCAAGAATGATTGCATCTACTCACGTATTGAGCTCAGAAATTTCCATCATTGAAATACAACAAAAAATATGTCAAGAATTCTGGCTCCTTGACTCCCTAGCTGTGACCTGTGTAGTCATAGCTAATTAACCTTTCTGTGACTCATTCCATCATGTCTAAGTTGGTTATACCTGGTTTTTTATTATATTTCCTGTTTTCTTTTAAGGATCAGAGACAATATATCTGGCACATAATTGGTACTCAATATATGATGAATTATCATTGTGGTTTATTATTATTTCGGAATGGTCTCACAGGCTAATGTCTTTCTTTAGTCATGTTAGAAATGGTCAGGGCAATGATACAGATTTCATAGTGGAGCACTTTGTAAAGTGAAGGTGAGTTCTACAGTAGTATGCTGAATGGCAACCAATGCAAAGAATTTTCTGTATTGCCAAGGAAAGCCTTGTATCCTCTGGACTCAAGTCAATAATATGCTTCACTGAGGTATGCAAGGTGCCTCAGGCATTGAGCCACTGTGCCGTGTATCTGTTAAAAATTAGTATAAATTAATGAGAAGTAAAGAGGTAGCCTGGGAAGGAATAAGCTTCTTTCATAGCCTAAGAAGCTGAGGTTAGTTATGGTCTTTCAAGGGAAGAGATTTCAAAGGAAGAATATGGAAGGAGTTGAGGAGCTTGGACTGGGTTGGGCAGCGAGAAGCAATGGCACACAGATACAAACTGAATGGCCTCTGTCCTGGGCCTGGTGTTAATCTCTTTACCCTGTCCCTACTGTCCAGGGCAGTGATTGACATGGGCACAGCAGGGGAGGAGGAGGAGCAAGTGCTCTCCAATGCATTTTGGCCCCTTTTCAGTACCACCACCTGCTGTAGAGTAATACAGGGCTGCAAGTTCATGTGTGTGGTAAGGGAAGCTGGGCTGTCAGTGACTTTGACATGATGCTGTGTACTGTACTCTATGGAACTGTTAGATCAAGTTTGGCATAAGATGAGACCATGTGATCAATTGATCCAAGCAAATTGGTTCAAAATATGTTGGAAAATAAATAAAGATTTACTTTATTAATTGCCAAAAAATGTAAGAGGAAATAAGAGCAAATAAGAGGCCCAAACTTAAAGTGTATTAGAAATAATGAGTAATTATGAATCCAGATGCTTTTAAATTGCCCCCAGTTCACTGAATTATCTGAATCAACTGTGTACAGAACCCAATATTCCCTAAATGAAACTGAAAGCTGCCTAATCCTCATCTTGCTGGCAAGTTCAGCTGTAACGGCTGAAGGGCACAGCTCCTTACAACTCTCGTAATCCATCTGCACCTCCACTTTCAGGGAGGCAAATTGCTATCATTTTACAAATATGCAAACTGTGACCTAGAACGGCAAAGTAATTTGACCACGGCTGCATGGCTGGTTAGTTGAGGAGGGCACTGGAAATCAGGGATCTGCTTCCTGGTGCAGTCCTGTCCCACACTTCAACTCAGCCCACCAGATGACCTCACCCAGGCTTGGGGCTTTCATGCCATCTACATTCTCTCAGAATCCAGATGGACATCTTCAACCTGGTCCCCTTTCCTAAACTCCAGATGTGCACAGCTCACTATCTATAGACTCCATATCTCATAAATGGACATCTTACAGTCATTTTAGACACAAAGCTGAACTTCTGTTCTTTCTTTCTTCCCAAATATGTTCTACAACTTAGAATCCTCCTCTCAATCAATGATGGTAACACCCTAGCATCTCACCCCAAACCCTTCCATACCCAAAATCCAACTTGCAAAATCCTTTAGTTTATACCACACATCTAGAAGTCAGCTACATTTCCACAGCCCTGGGCTGCTACTCAATTCAAGCTCTCATCATTCATACAGATGATGATAGATCTATCAGGTAGATTTTCAATGGTGTTCAAAATGTAAGTCAGATCTTGTCACTCCTCTGCCTGCTCCTAAACCTGCTATGGTTTCTAGACTCACTCAGTGGAAAAGCTCACTTCCTTAATGACCAACACGGCATTAGTCATGGTAAGCTCTTTGTCTACTATTTTCCCTTTTTTGGCATCACTGCTGTAACACTGGTCTCCTTCCTGCTCCTCCAGCCATGATAGTGCCTCAGGACCTTTGCACACATTGTTATCCCTTCCTCACCCAGATAATTGCTTCACAACATCCTTACTTTCCCAAGGTCTTCACGAAGATCTTATCTTCTCTAAGAGGCCTAAGTTTACTGTTCTATTTAATTCTGTAACTTGCTCCTCCTCAGAGTTGGTCTCTCCTTATCTTTTTACCCTGCTCTGTTTTATTTTTCTTTTATGCTGCTCTTTCTAACACTCTATATAATTTCCTTATTTAGTAAGTTCGCTGGCCATTGTCTGTCTACCACTGTTGAAAAGTAAGTCCATGGAGGGCAGAAATCTTTCTCTATTTGACCACTAATACATCCTAGAATAGTCCCACGTAGTAGGCACTCAATAAAACATATCAAACAAATGAATCTTGTGTTTAACAAATAATGTGTTGGGTTAGTGCATTTTCCTCAGATTTTTGCAAATGCTGCAGTTCAGCATGGTGGGAGGAGGCCCTGTTTCCCTTCTGATAGGCCAGGGACCAGCTCTGTAGGTTACCATTTCCCTTTCCTTGACCACACTTGCCCTGCCATATTCCCAGCAACAGCTGCTAATGAGCAATCAAGGAAGGTGACCATGAATTTCTTTTTCCATTCATTTTTATCTCATCCTTTTAAATTTCCAATTATATGTTTTCTAACCTCCACAAATATATTACTGCAGTGGTATGGGCATGTAATTTATAAAAAAACAAACATGTTGGAGGCACATAATCCCAAAACTAAAAACTACTGCTCTACAAAACCACAAACCCCTCTGCAGGTTCAGGGGCACCTGAACCTGTATTATCATAGCAATAGCTATGCTATAGATATGACTGGATAAAGGAGATTGGTCCTGTCCAGTCCAGCCCAGAGAACTTTCCAGACAGCAGGGTGCTGAATCTGAAGTTTCTCTTCTGAGTTAGTGCAGAGAAAGCCCATGCTTTGGAGACTTTGCCAGGACAGAACTGCCTAACTCCCCAGGGAGCTCCTGGCCTCCATCACCAGATGCTTCCTCTATTAGGACTTCCCCCAGGCTCTCTCCTTGTGCCCTCCACTGGCCACCACCCATGGAACAGAAACTGGCCCTGGGCCTTGCAAGCCTGCAGGAAGAGCTGGCTCACCTTCTCATAGTACCGGATCTCATAATCCAGGATGATGCCATTGGGCTGCTCCGGCTGTGGCCATGACAAGGTGATGCTCCTCATGGTGGCACTGACCTGGTGCATGATGGGAACAGTGGAGGGGGCTGTGGAGAGAGCAAGAAACAGGGTAGCTGAACAGATGCTGTGTAACAGAAGAAGTGCCATCTTTGAGAGATAAGCAAGGAGAAAGATGTCATTGGTTTTGAGCTCTGCCCTTCCTCATCAACTGAATTGGATCTGCAGAACTTCCTATGGGGTTTTGCAGACTGAATGGAGTTTGGGTAACAAATGAGAGAAAAGGTGATAATTTAGCAGAGGAAAGCATGTGAGGGCAGGGGCTAGGATGGATGAGATATTTTATGGCAGAGAAGAGAAAGACTTATGCAAAACAAGAGAGGGTTACAGGAAAGACAGGGGAAACTGGAACAAAGGAATGTTTTTGAGTGCAAGGTATGGAAGGAACCTCTGACTTGCAGTAATGGGCTGAGCTCACAGAAAAGAGAACCTGGGAGCAAAAGACTAGAATAAGAGAGCAGAACTAGTCAGGACAGAATTACTGTGCCATGGAAGGAAGTATTCAGCAAACATTTCTTCATGGTACTGCATGTAAAATTTGAATGTACTTCAAAAGGAAAAGAAGAGACATCCCTCAAGAAGACATGAACACAGACCAACAACAGAGGGAGGCTCTGTCAGAGTTTTCCAAATGAGGACACTTGCAATAAGGAGCTTACCAATATAAATGAAGAAATAATGCATAAAGCAAACATTTGGAAACAGGATAATAATTCCAAGGTATTTGAAGTTGATGAGGAAATCTCTGTTTGGAAATAATATTTATTTCCCAATTCAACATTTTTCACATGGTGTAAGTAAAATGAAAACGGTCTGGAGATAATAAATGAGAGCTGTCTTTCCATGGGAAGAGGCGGGTAATAGATGAGGCTCAGTCTCCGCTCTGCTCAGGGGCTGTTCCATTTTGTCTTGGCACTTCTGCAGTGATGAAGGTCATTTCCTCACTCAAACTCCACTTTATAAGGCTTTTCTCTGGGGACCATGGCTGAGTGACATTTACTATCCTCAATTTAAGTTAATAGATTCCCTCCAAGACCTGGAATTACAGAGTGCAGCCAGCAGGTCATTGGAGAGGAGGAGAGTGCCTTCTCCCCTACTCATGGGACTAAGTGAACACCTACTGTGTGTAGTTTGTGCCAGGGGAGAGGACACACAGTAAGCATTCTGAAAATTCCCCTAGCCAGGGAGCCATGCAGAGTGAGAAGTGTGAGAAATGTGATGCCTTAGAATCAGAGAGTCTTCTGGAACTTTGAAGGCCAGTTTGCACACAGTCCATTAAAGACTGTGTCGGCCATGAAGATGCACAGCTCATACCCTGGGGAGTGTACACGACTAATGGCCTCAGTTGCTGTGCTGTGAAATCCATCATCACGTTCACACACAGAAGCCTGCTTCCTACAGGCTGCTCCCAGATCCATCCCTGTAAGATATGGGACTCTTCTGATGGGCAACTTTGGCTCAAAGACAACCCATGGTCTTATCCAAGGTCTCCTCGGAACAACACAGTAGTATATGATTCTTCCCATTCAGGACTTCTTCCGTCTCTCTATCCTTCACACAGATCAGACCTTCATTGTGGTCTGATGGCTCCCCCGTTCATTTCTCCAATAAATCTCTTGCACGTCTAATCCCATCTTGGTGTCTGCTTCATGGAGGACTTGGACTAATGCAGCCTTGAATTCAATGTCCCTGTTAAATATTTGTTGCCAAGCTTCTGTGGTGCCTCAGGGGTGGAAGGTTTCTGCCTACAGGATCTGCTCCCCTATACTTCAGTAATTCTCGCCCATTTACAAATTTTCCTTATTCTTCTCTGAAATTTGTCTTCGTCCCACTGGTCTCAGTTATTCCTGTTAAGGTAACAGAGGATGGTTCCTCCTCCATTAAAGTGTATACAGAAACTAGCCAGATTTCTCTTAAGTTTAACGTCTCTTAATGTGTAAAGCACGGCCAGACAGGAGGTGGTGGCATGAGCACTTGAGAGGCTGCGACAGGAGGATTGCAAGTCTGAAACCAGCCTGGGCTAGATGGTGATACTCCATCTTAAATAAATAAATAGAAAAAGAAACTAATCCCCTTCCAGAAAAGAAAAGAATGGCCAGATACTACACAAACGTTTCTCCCATAAACATGGCATGCTGCTACACAAGGTGACTCTTATCCAAAAAGGGCCAATGTTATCTAAATCCCTTTAGGTATGAGGCCCAGAGACCAACTCAATTCTTTTGCTACCATTTGAGCTACAAAGGTAAGTGTGTTACTAATAACTACCATGATTTATTTACTAAACATCTATTAATGTGACCGTTAGCCTTTGGATCAAAAACATGTGCCTATTATTCAGTTCTGAAATCACAGTCACACACAACCCATTTACATATTCCCCAAGGTATAATTTCATTATGTCTGTAGAGCTGGCTTTCAGCTATGGGATTTATATGTATCTCTTTACCTTTATTGTGTTACATTTGCCCTATAATGTAGTAAGTTGAAAAGAATTTTTGATTCTGATTTAGCCATTTTCTCTCCCTCCCAACATAGTATTATGGCCCATTTTAATTAACTAATTAAACAACATTTATTAAGCATCTGCCATGTACCAATTGCCATTCTATGTTCTAGAGATACTATAGTGAACAAAATATGATTTCTTGCTCTCATAGTTTACTTTATGGGGGAGGTACTCAGGGTCTAGATATATAAAGGTTTGTTAAAAGATAATGAGTACAATGGGAATAAATGGAGCATGGGGGTAAGAATATGGAATGTCAGTGTGGAGACTATGTGGTCAGCAATGGCCTCCTTGAGAGTAGATGTAAGAGCACAGGTTTGAGGACAGGGAGGGAGCCATGAGGATATATGGGAAGAGCATTTGAAAGGAAACAGTCAGACAAAGAGTATGACCTGGGGGCATCATAGAGCCAGTGGGAGTAGACCAGAGAGGAGGTCCCAGTAGGCAGGGCCTTTGACTTCTACTCTAGTAAACTAGAGTGACACAGGAAGGATGTCAATAAGGCAGTGATAATCTGACTTGCACACTGAAAGTATTGTCTTCTGTTGTGCTGCAAATAGGATGTGGTGGCCATGTAAAAGCAGAAGGATCTATCATAAAGCAATTGTGAGACAATGGTTACTTAGACCAGGCTCCAAGCAGTGGAGGTGATAAGAATCTGAATACATAGATGTTCCCAACTTATGATGGTTTGATTTAGTTTTTCAATTTTACCATGATGCAAAAGTGATATTGTAGAAACTGTATTTCTGACTTTGAATTTTGATCTTCTCCCAGTCTAGTAATGTTCAGTATACTATTTTCTCTTGATGCTGGGAAAGTCTTGAGTCACAGTTCCTAGTCAGCTATGAAACATAAGGCCGGACAACCCATAGCTCCCAATGTACTGAATTGCAGTGTTTTTGAATTACAGGTATTAAATAAACTCAATAAATTATGTGAGATATTCAATACATTAATGTAAAATAAGCTTTATGCTAGGTTTTGTGCCCAACTGTAGGCTAATGTCTCTGTTCAGAATCCATTTAAGTTAGGCTAGGCTAAGCTATGAGGTTAGGTAAGTTTGGTACACTAAATTCATTTTCAGCTTACAATATTTTCAAATTAATGGTGGTTTTGTTGGGATGTAACCCTACTACAAGTCAAGGAACATCTATCACTAGAATATCTCCATAGACAAGAGATATGGGAGAAACAGAAAAGTCAAACTTTTGCAGGATTTTTGTCTTGAACAAACAGAAGGATGGGCTTTCATCAACTGAGATTAGGGAAGACAGGAGTAGAAGTTTGGGAGGAAAGATCAGGTGCTTCACTCTGGACCTTTTAGGTCTGAACTGTCCAAAGTATGCTTGGGTAGATGCTGAGTAGGCAAATGTATATGTAAGGTCCAGATGGGAAATTTCAATTTGGAGCCATGGGTATTTCAAAGATATAGAAAGCAGTGAAGCTGACAGAGAATAAGTAGAATAAAATATGCTCTGAGATGTAGGAAATGAAGAGAAAACAGCAAAGGGGCCAATGAGGTAGAAGGAAAGCCAGGAGAGTATGATTGCCTAAGTGGAAATAAACATTCCCAGGAGAACTGAATATATTAAATGCTGCTGCTATGTTAGGTAAAATGAAAATAGGAACTAAGCCCCAGATTTAGCAATGGTCTTAATGGTTAGCCATCTGGATGGCATATAATCATTTCTCACAACCTTGCATGTGTTCGGCAGAGCCTGTGGGAGAGGGTAAAGGTGGTTCACCAAGAATTGTGGTGAATGAAGATCTTCTGATAATACTGCTTTTCCCTACCACATTCTGCCATTTGGGCTGCCTACATGGAAGCACAACTTCAAGTTGCTGAATGTAGCCACAGAGGTTTTCAGGATCCCTCTCTCTCTATGATAAAACATCATCTACTAAAGATTGGAATACTCCAATATAGTGGATTAGAAGCACCCAGTAATTGTCAGCTTCTCTGTGGTGCAGAATGAAAACAGTGGGAGAACAGATACCCATGAAGGTTAGGGATGGTAGGAATGTATTGAAGTTCAGTTGTGAACAAAGAGACTTAAAAAAATCAAACCGAAAACTTGACATGAGAAGCTTAATAAGTCAAATAAAAAAATTCAGTTGAAAGCCTCTCTAATAGAATGGGTCAGTGGAAGATGAAATATCAGGAACTGAAGACAAATGATGAATTAGAACATTGAGATAGTATTAAAGAAAAAGATTAAAAGTTATGAACAGAATTTGAAAGACCTTTTGGACTTGGATAAAAGACAAAATATTTAACATTTATCTTAGATATAGACAAGGGTGCTGTGGTAGATACTAAAGGCATAGAAAAGGTATTCAATAAAACAATATCAGAAAATTTCCCAACTCTTGGGAAAGATACGGACATCTAGACATGGGAAGTATTTATAACCCCAAATGGACATGACCAGAAAAATCCTCTCATGTCCCATTATAGTCAAAATGCCACAAAAAAAAATAGAAAAAAGAATGAACATGGAAAGCTGCAAGAGAGAA